AGGAAATGGAGGAAGCCAAGCTGGCCAAGGAAAGGGAGGAAGCTGAGAAAGCCAGGATGGCCAAGGAAAGGGAGGAAGCCGAGAAAGCCATCAGAATGGCGAAGGAAAGGGAGGAAGCCAAGCTGGCCAAGGAAAGGGAGGAAACTGAGAAAGCCAGGATGGCCAAGGAAATGGAGGAAGCCAAGCTGGCCAAGGAAAGGGAGGAAGCTGAGAAAGCCAGGATGGCCAAGGAAAGGGAGGAAGCTGATAATGCCAGGTTGGCCAAGGAAAGGGAACAGTTCAGGCTGGCAAGATTGGCCAAGGACAAGGAGGAGGCCGAACATATGAGATCGGCCAAGGACAAGGCCAAGGAAAAGGAAGACGCTGATAAAGCCAAGGTGGAGGCCGTGCGACTTGTAAGAAACTAAGAAACCTTAACCCCTAAACCATAAGTATAAACCCCATAACCTAGAACCTCAACATTAAACCCGAAGCCTTAACTCCCTAAATTTTATACAGCCCTAAACCCCAAAGCCTAAATCCGCCACTGTCAGGTCGACATGGCAACACAGGCGGCAAAAAAATACCAGGCTTTGCCGATGAACGCGACAAAGTTGCAAAAGCTACAGCTCTTGCAGGACATTATGGCTACTGGGGATGAGGGTTGCAAGCAGTTCTGCAAGGATGAGCTTGCAAAACTGATCAAGCCGAAGGCAGCAACGCCAGCTCCGGCCCCTACCAGTGATGCCGATCCTCCGGCCCCTACCACAACGGGTGCCGATCCTCCGGCCCCTACCACCAGGGGTGCCGATCCTCCGGCCGCTACCACCAGGGGTGCCGATCCTCCGGCCCCTACCACCAGGGGTGCCGTTCCTCCGGCCCCTAATGCCCCGACCTTTGATGATGTCAGTGCGAAGATGGGTTGGTCAAGTCCTGCAACCCCACGCATGGTGGAGGCACCTGGTACGCCATCTCCTGCAACGCCTGGCAGTGCAATCACAACGCCTGGCAGTGCAAAAACAACGCCTGGCAGTGCAAGCGACGGCTTGGTCCAAGGTTCTGCGCCACTCTACAACCGAAAGAACGCCGCCATGTTCTTGAATCGCCTGAAAGGCAACCCAAAGAGGATGCAAGCCTTGCCTGATGACTTGGCAAAGTTGGTGCGGGACGAAGATTCAAAGAGCAAAGCCATCGACTTGATCGTCGCTGCAGGAGGAGACGAAAATGAGCTGGTCGGGCAGTGGACTGCATCGTCCATTTCTGTGGGGACGGACAAGGAAAAGGGAAAGATGAAACCTTTGACGGAACAGGAATTGATCGGCAAGTACGGTGCGGTCAATGCTGCGAAGGTGATGGAGGAAAAAAGGAAGGCTGGTTTGGAGGTTGATGATCCCAATTGTAAAGGGCTCAAGCTTTACTTGCACAACGAGTGGCAGAGGGAATGGACGAGAGGCACAGAAGAACGTTTCTTGCTTGCATTCATACATCGTGCATGCAGTTATGTTCGACTTCAACATTTATGTAGCATTCGTGCATTCATGCGAACGGAATCCGAGGAAGCAGTTTCACTGCTTCCGGAGAAGTTCGTGCGGGTGACGCTGCCAACGTTGCACAAATTCTCAGTGTGCCCCGGCGGGCGCTGACAGGGCCCGGCCAGGATGATGAGGACAATGTGGACATGGAGGAGGACCCAAAGCCACTTCCGACCAAAAAACCAAAGAAAGCCAGGAAAAATGAAGCCAGCGGCAAAGAGAAAGACGAAGACGGTGAAACTGAGCCGGAAGCACCACGAGTGGAGAAACTTACACCGCTGGACAAGGCGGCAGACTTAAGGGGGCGGGCCCTCTCGAAGGCCAACCACGCTGGCTCGATGCGCAAGCAGTTGAAAGGAGTCAGCTATGCGACTGAATGCCTCAAGGAGATGACCAACTTCGAGCAGGAGTTCCAGTGCCTTGGCTGCATTGATACCTACTAGATTGTTTTATGAGCCTCTGCCCCACAGGGCAGGCTACCCTGGTCTAGCCATATGAACAAGAAGTCTTGACAGACGCTCATGTGGCCCCAACCCAGTACTATACGGCCAAGGGCGATCTACGACCAGGTGGACAAGCTCATCTCTGAGCTGGTCCACGATGATGGGGTCTATCTTCCCATTGCTACCAGATATCTCGATATCGCGAAGCGTTATGAGAGGCCCAGCAAGGTAGCAAACAGCTTGATCCGAGCTGCGAAGGCGACTCCGAAGGATCCAACCGCGCCCAAAGGATCGGCTAAAGCCAAGTCCAAGAAGCGCAAAGCCGCGGAGGGAGCCTAGAAAGAATCTTGGCACCCGGGGTCGGTGCTCAGATGGGCATGTCGTGCTGTTCACGTATATTAGAATATATTAGAATACTGCAAGGTTACTGGTAACAGATCCATCTGGATTTTGCACATCTCATTTTCTTCCAGTGTCCGACACTGATAACGTACAGTTGGTGTAGGGTCCTCGCCCAAGGGCTCGAGGACCCAAGCCAGTGCTCTCGACTTTCACAATCCTTGGGGAATCGATCGTCGCTCTGGTGCCAAAAATTGCTTGCTGCAGATGCCCTGACGGGGTTTCACGTGATGGGGTGGAAGGAATGAAAAACATTGTTGCCAGGTACGTGCCCTTGACAGAGTCTGGTCGGCCTGCCTTTACGACACGTCGTCGTGGGATGCTGCTGGGACCGCAATATATGCAATAAGCATAAACACGCCACTGGAGCAAGGACCGCAGATGACTTTGACTCCGCTGGTGCAGCTTTACTGGCCCAGCGCATGGGTGCTGGAGACTCTTGACTTGGATGTATCCAAGCACGTCAGCTATATAGTCCGTGTGCAACACTCTTGGACCTTGCAGCCAGAACACACATTCTGAGGCGATACCTGTGGCCGAAACAAGCAGAATAGCATCTGCCTTCCGGCGAGATGGGGCATCTGGACTTGCCCTTTCACAAATGGCAAGCAGCGAACGGGAGAGGGATTTCTTCCGCTGGGTGAAGTTACCCATCCAGCCCCTGCTGGTGGATTTGCCTGTGTGGAGCAACACCAAAGAACGCAAGGACAAACAACTGATATTTGAGAAAACAGCTTTCTGTCTTCCCAGTGATGTTCTCTGCGAGCTTTGCAAAAGATCACTGGTGGAAACCTGTCTTATTGGACATTCGCACCTCGGCCCGCGCCTGATTGCTTGGTTCATTGTTGGTGCATGTATTGCTCATGGACGCACATTTCCTGCTTTGATATCTCAGGTCAGTAGATGAATGGTGGAAGCAAGAACGGGACCAGGTTTACATACGGGAGATCTCCCGGAACAATCCCAACTACCAGGACATGCTTCCATTACGCTTTCATGAGGATGGTGTACCAACAACTAAGAGCGAAACATGCAACTTCTGGTCTTGGACCACGCCTTTGGCTAGCCGCGGAAGCGAGATCTCTCGCTTCTGTCCCTCGGAAATTTTCGATTAGCAATATTCTTTTAGTTGGACAACAGAGCTAGCTGACCATATACATATATATATATGAGCCCGATACCTTTGGGGTCTATTTAACTAGTTTGCCATATATACAATATAAGATCCCTAGCTAAATCATATATTCCTACATATTATACTACAAGACTTACACTCTGAAAAGTTTAGCATTACTTAGGTCTATAATATTTTTCGCATTATTGCCGACACTACTGCCACTATGAATCCTGCTTAATATACATTGTCACCTATACAGGCAGGCGAATTTTAATAATTGGTACCTGTAGCAATATCATTCCGAATCCTATGAAACAGAAAGCAACAACACTCCAACCAAAATAATCATAGTAAGTATTGCTTACACCTCTGTCGGGAGCGAGTACTTAGTTTCTTGAGCCAAAGTTGCGTTCCCTGCCGATTTCTCGGAACAGAATCTCGTCGAGTTGTCTGTGCAGTCGGGGGTGGCTCAATCATCAGGTTTACTAGACCACTAGCATGTTGAATGTCACGGCAGCTAGTGAGTAGATACTTCGTTTCAGGCACCAAAGTTGCATTCCGTGCCGATTTCTCGGGAGAGAAGCTCGTCGAGTTGTCTGTGCAGTAGGGATAACTCAATCCTCAGGTTCGCCAGAGGACTAGCACGTTGGGTAGCACTGCAGCTTTGTGAGTAGCTACTCAATTTCTTGCGCCAGAGTTAAGTTCTGTGCGGAGTAATAATAATATAGCACTACAACACTGCGGTCAACAAAGTGATCCCGTGTGTGTAGGCAAGAATACTGAGAAACGGCACAAGACGTGGTCCTGCACCCGGGGCATGTGTGAACTATATAACGCCCGAGCTGCCCGACCTCGTCTGCTTGCTGTCATCGTGCAGCCTGGAGATCGTCTCTACCATCCTCCGGTAGTAATAGTAGTAACGACGAAGCTAGCCGAGCGACGACGTGCGGAGCAACACAACAACAGCTAGCATGGACAGCTTCTCTCTTTTTCATGGATGAAGCAAATATCCCAGTTAGCCTGTAGATCGTTTGTAGCTTTCGGCTAACCGATCCCCTGTGTGGGAAGGGTGGGTACTTCAAGTTTACAGCCTTTTGATGAACTTATCCAAAGTGGCCGCGCGGATGTAAAGCTTCGTAGCTGTATAAGTCAAGTTATCTGGTTCTTCAGACGTGTCCTGCAGACATGTTGTCCTGTCGAGCGACGATAGCAGGCGAACTTCGTTCTAGCCCAGATACTTGCAATATCTCCAAGTAGCAAGAGGGATGGATGGCCTAGCGCACACAGTCGTAGCTCGTACATCGTCACAAGTGTTAAATCTAGTCTCCAGTCTCTAATAATCAGAACAACTTCACACAGATCAGTCCCAGGTGCCGGGCCTCCTCAGATGAATGCAGCCCATCACCTGGCACAGACATGTATAACAATGTTGGAACACGCATAGCGTTGGGTAGCAGAATCACGGCAATCTCGTTGGATGCAGCTTCTTTTTGTTCCCAATGCGCGTCGGGAAGATGCACAAAAAAAGCTTTAGTCAGAGCCAGACTGTTTCACACCTGCTGTACGTAATGTGTGCATGCGTCTGACTGACAAAGGAGTCACACGCCCTCGCCTCTTCTGAGGCTTGGAAGATTTCGCAGCGGGCTTCTTCATAGTCTTCATAGCCCAGTTCCGCACCAATTTGACTTCGGATTGCCTGGACTTGGCAAGTTGAAGTCGAGCTTTGCTCTGCACTCCATCCGTGTGCTGCTCGCTGCACCACGCATCCCATTCGGGTACGCTCCACAGCGACTCATGCAGCGATCTACCTATCAGCATGTTGGCACTAACCACATGCGACATAGGATGCTCTGTCGCGAGGTAGTGAGTGAGCATCTTGATATACTTGAAATAACGAAGCTTCAAAGCGAGTGTGGACCGGTGCATCACGTTAATGCTCCGCGTCCATGAGTTAACTTCTGCGTGCAAGGCCTCATTACTGGCAGTGCCGCTCGGAAGGAACCATAAGTATGATGCATGCATAGAGTGCCGCACTCTCACATTGTTCATCAGCCATTCCACCCGATCTGGTGCGCACGCAGACCACAAAATGCGATATATTTCTTTGTTAGGCCCAGGAGCCTTCCGGACGACCTCGCCTTTGTATCGTCGGCATAGGGCAGCAATCGATTTTATGAAATCAAGTCTGTGGAGGAAAGGTTGATCCTCTTGTACATGATCCAGGATGCTGCTGGCGTCACGCTCTGACATGGAGAAATCCAATATCATATCACGATACTTCACCTCCTCCTCGTTCAATGGCCTGGCCATTGCACCGTCGTAGAATGCAAGCCAGTGTCTTGCATCGACCCTTTCGTCGACGGCCGTGCACTTTCGCAGGATGTGTCGCAGCTTCTTGGAGCCAGGACTCTTCTTATTCCAGAACCCGTACTCATATACAATGGCAAGATGAATGGGGTCCAGCATGAGCGCTCGCAAATTCGGGCATACAGACCGTAATTCTGTATACAGCTTTTCCGATGGACTGTCTGTTCCTACATAGTGCACTGAGACGAGTTGAGCTTCCGAAAAGTTATCCGAGATGGCGCCGACGATGTAGTCCGATGATTCCTTTGGAAGAGGTTCCATGAGAAGGACAGCTCCGGTGCGACCCCGCACGGTCAAGAGCCGCCGCCATGCCACGTCGTCCCCGAACGGAGCGTCGTTCCGAACTTGCTTGGAAGCTCTGTAAGGAGCCTGTCCCATGATTTTCATGCACAACTTGAGAGTGGCATCCATGCTGATGTAATGCCACTCATCGTGCTTGGAGAAAGCCGTAAGCATCTGCTCCATCTTGTTCTTGAAAGCTTCGGACGTGGTGATATCCTCCAACATAGGCGTCCAGTGGGGAACCCTGCTGGGGAGAAGTGTAGAAAGTTTACATCCGGACTTCAGAGCCTCGATGTGACACCGTGTAGCCAGCGTCCGCACCTGATGGAGCGACGGACGATGAGACTACATGTACACTTGTTATGATGATAGGCAGAAAAGACTAAGCCGCTGTTAAGAAATATTAGTCACTGCCTCAACATTATGTTTGTTATCCGCTCAGTTGCCTGCGCGTGACCAAGTACCATCTCTCGTAGCAGCAAATCCGCAAAGGAGTGCGTGTAGTACATGTTCTTCACTCTTCTGGCTTTTATTGTTGTACCGATACTTTCCAGATTCACATACCGAGGACCAGTGGCATCCAAGATCAATCGTATTTTTTTGTCGATGGAGTTGCGGTTAGACTCCAGTGATGGCTGGATGGTGGCTCGCAACAACGATGCACTGGATTGTAGAAGCTCTTCCACTCTGCTTTGTGATGAAGCACCATGGTCGTACAGTGACAGGATGACTTTGATCTGCTTCGTACCAGAACAGACGTACTGATTCTTCTCGGTGTGGTGGTTGGTCATGTGTGTCCGTAGTTGTCGCAGTTGAGCAAATGAACGAAACAAACAAAATGGACAATGTCTCCGACCGCCCTGTCGAAGCGAATTTTCCTTCAACTTGTCCAGAACGTCCTCCACTTCTTGACAGAGTGACTGAAGAATCCCGTCAGATATGACAGGAGTGTTTTCGTCTTCATCATCGTGTGTTATTTTTCCAAAGCCCTTGTCGATGTCCATGTCTGTCTCCTCGTCGGATGTGCCAGAGGTAGCACCTGCGACCAAGTCCAACAACAATGTAGACTTGTCATCGAGCTTATCTTTCGCGTCGCGTTTCCAATGTGAAACGACAGTTGATCGATCCACAGCTGCAGCACAAGCTTCCTGGAAGGCACCTACGGGAATCTTGTATACGACGTTGCCATCGATCAAGGTAGCTGTGTCGCCTTCCAGCCGGACCGACAGGCAATGTGGCGATCCGTTCCCTTCGTAATGCAACAGAAAGGTTTTCACATGGGGCTGGGGCAGACCAAGACAGCTTACGATGTCGAGACCACACATGGTGGCAACCGAACGATAGGTTCTGTACCTGGTTTTCTTGGCCTCTGCATTTTCTGCCTTGTCATCGTCAAGTACTGCAGCGGCCACAGTCGTTCTGGACAAGGGATCCGAATGCCACAAACTGCATGGAATGCAATTGCCAGCTTCCAGAAGCTTTGCGGGCACGTTCGTCAGGTTGTTCGCAACGTTTCCACGAGTTTGAATTAGATCTATTAACGATCCATGTGTCTTAACCATGATCTTCACGTCGAAGGAAGTCCTGTCTTTGACGGCGGCTTGGCATTTCCGAATGTAGTCCTCCGAGTTCTGAACCTTGTCAGCCGACACCCGGATGCCGTCGAAGTGCAGCGACAAGTGCTTGGGATTGTCCATCAGAACGTGCTCGGACCAAGCCTGGAGGATACTGTCTTCGACTGCATGCCACATGAGAGACATGATGGTGGCAGAAGGGAAAGACTTCAGCTTGTTGTCGGCCAAGCTCATGTAGTCGTCGTGAAGAATATTGCACGCCACCCATCGAACATACAATGCAATCTTTTGTAGCTTCTTGATGAGCTGATTGTCTTTCAGCTTTCCTGGTGGAGCACCACCGTTGAAAACGGTAGTGATAATGTCTTTGCCTTCGGAAATCTGCACATTCAGCTTGGCCACAAAGTCTGCACGTCTGTGGGTGACTTCGTCAAGTACTTCTGCAAGGTCATCAGCCAAGGGAGGATCAGGACTAAGTTTCTGCAGAAGTTGATGGATCAGCGTCAAGCAGCAGTTGTGGATGTCCAGATCAACGGTGTGACCGTCTACAAGATACTTCTGCAAGCGACGGGATGTGCTCTGAGCACTGCCCTTCGGGCCGTACCGACGACCATGGATGCTGTAGTTCTGCTTGTCAGAATACTTGTACTCAACCGATGTAGCCGACATGGATGATGACGAAACGGCAGCGTTCCCATCTTCATTCACTGACGTCTTCGCCAAGATGCGTCTCTTTTGCGACGATAGCAGAGAAGTCACGTGTTCGGAATGGTCCTCGAGCTTCTGGATGAGTTTCTGGTACTTCGTCGTAAGTTCATCCTGTTCCAGACTTCTTCGTCCTCGTTTTGAAGCAGGCAACATCGCTGTGTAGTACATCTTCATGTTGTCATCGTTGATGGATCTGCCTCCACATCTGTAAGCGTAGCTTCGAAGCCGGCCTAGATCATGTTCTTCCTGGAACTGCATTCTAACCTGGCCCGCTTCAGTTTGAGGACATACTTCGTGAAACTTCTTTTTGAAGATGAACGAAGGAATGATAGCACCAGGTCTTTCTTTGCCCGTCTTCGGCTTCGCGATGCCAGTGCGAACCACCTCTTGCTTGGGCATTTCGTCCCACATGGCCTGCTTCGACAGGTTCGGATGTTCTCCTGCTTTGCAAGGCATTTTTTTGAACTCATAGAACGTCATGACTTCGAGGTCTTTGTCGAGCATGTGCTGTATCACCGAGCTTCTGAGATTTTTCCAGCTGATGTCCCGATCTTCCCTTTCTGCATTACTATCAGCATCGCCATCGAGCAAGTTGCCGAGACCTTCTTCCACTTGCTGATGTCTTTGTCGCACAGGCAAGCCACATGCATTTCGCATGACATCCTCAGTCAAGAAACCGTCTCCACCATTGCAGTAGTTTTCTATCAGCTGATAGCAGTCGTCCTTGCTGTAATCCCGTTCAAACGCCCACTGCAACCGCAATCCTGCAATGGAGGCCTGAGATGTGGACAAAAACTTGTTCAGACTGGGGTCTGCTTCGAAGATTCCGTCCTTCTCATGATCGATGTACTTCGCTAAGAACTTCTTGTGGATGAACCGAGCTTTGGATTTCCACACAAAAGCTCTCCTGAACATCGAATTGAAACCGCTGCTCTTAACGCCGGCAAACTGCATCATGCGATTCACTTCAAGTCTAGTCCATCCGACCGTGTGGAACATGCGAGTGGTGTAGCCGTACGGCTTTCTTCCCATGATTCCGTCAGCTGATATAGTTTTCTTGTAGAGATCGATATGCAGTTTCTTGCTGGTCTCCGGTGCTTCCTGGCCTGTCATAATGAAACATCGTGCAAACGTTTCCACCTGCTTGCGAAGCTCTTCGTCGAGGTGCCATATGTTGGGGTCGAAAAAGGTATGGTTTTGCTTATACATCTCGGATAGATGCAACGAATATAAACTTTGCCCCACTCCTCCAGGTGATATGCCAATGAAGCATCTGTCCACATTGTATCCGCGCTTGGCGATAGCCGTGGCTGCTTGGAAGCACTTGAAGACATCTAGATTGCACCAGAATGTCTGCTGGTAGAACTTCTCGAGACGCTCCAAGTTGTTCTCCATAACTGGATCCAGCAAAGGATGAGGGATGCGAACATAGCAGTTGTTGGCTGGACTCTTTTTGACCACATCGATCGGACTATCTGATCCTGGCGAATCGTACACGAAGCATACGTCGTCGTAGGTGACAGAAGATGATCTTTGGTCTTCTGTTTCGCACCATTCGACCAACAGAGAAATCATCCGAGTCTGCATCAGCTCAGTCCTGATGTGCCATGATAGTTTCCATGACTTTTCTGCCGCGTCTATGGTCCAAGTATTGTCGGACGCTGCTTCGGCTTGCGCTTGGTTCGCCACCTCATCATCAGCTGCATCTAGCCTAGAGGGGTAAGCTGCAGTCGTGCTACGCCTGTTCACTGCGTCTCTACATGCTTGTAGGAAATCATCTTCGGTCTCGAAGCTTTGTAAATCGGAAACAATGGCACGGGCGACAGAGGCAGCTCTGCGGCTGTTCTCTGGCTTCATGCGCCGGAGGATGCCTTCCAGGTAGACAAAGAAGTCGTGGACCCGATGGAGCACGGCCTCTGGCGGGATGCCGCCGAATGGCTGAAAACAACCATCGCCATCGTATATGTAAAGGAATCCCTTGTGTACCCTCAAGTGCCGATCACCCTCGACCATCCAAAGCAACGCAGCCGAATCTGCAAGCATGGGCTTGTCGGAGATCTTACCTTCGGTCAAGTGGGCTGCGACTAGCACAAGTCGCCTGATCTGGTCCGAGACGTTTGGGAAATCCATTCTCAGTTCCTGCAGCGACTTCTTCGTGCTGTGCAGAATAGTGTTTGGTTGAACACTCCTGTCGGCTACTAAAACATCCAGTGTGGTTCTCAGAATGTCATGAGATCGCTGAAACGTTGATCTGAATCTGTCGGAGTGTTCTGCTGCACCTGGTAGAAGACGACGCTTCTTTGCCGCCATGCGGGCAGCATCCGCTTCATCTTCGAACATGTCCTCGAACATCGCTTCCAGATCTTCTTCGACACGATAACCGTTTGACGCTTGAGTGTTCGGCAATATCTGAAATGGTTGCGTGAGACTTGGCTGACCGGTCTCCGTCTCTGGGACAACAAGCCCTTCTCTTTGTGGTTGCGGCGCAGGCTCCTGAGGTTCAGGTTGTACACAGACAGCTAATTTTTCGTTTCTTCTACATTGCATCAGAGCTGAAACTTCATCTGCAAGGTCAGGCACATCATCCACGAAACCGTCTGGTAGATACCGTGGATGTATGCATACGACTTTCATGCCAGCCACCTTCACGTGGTAGTACTTTTCCAATATCCACTTGTAGATATTAAGTTGGAGTCTGTAATGGTGACCTTGCGAGTCGTTGATTCCTTGTAGGGGGGCATGCATGGTCTTGCCGTAACTGTTATACTTCTCCTCCAGCTTTTCGCTGCGCTTCCAGTCCAGGAGGTAAAGCACGTCGTTGTTGACGTCTTTAAGAACCATGTCGATCGAACCTGCAACATCCTCTTCCGGTGCATATATACACCACTCCGTCCTGTAGACTACCGCATTCTCCATTTGACTCACAATTCTCACCGCAGCGTTCAGTTCGCCTTGCATCTTGCCGGCCATAATCTGGTAGCCATTGAAGAGGTGTTCTAGCATGGCGTGCATCCATGTGCCTGAGTTGGAGGCGCAGTTCTTCTTAGTTTCCCAAAGCAAGATGATCTCGTTGTCGTGCAGGACGAATTGTTCAATGACTTTGTCCAAATCCTTCAACTCTGAACGGGATATACAGAAAAGTCTACAGATCTCATCGACGTCAGGCTTGTCTTCTTGCAGGAGTGCAACCAGGTCTGCTTGATATCTGAAGTCCAAGCCCTTGAGCATGCCCGCGATAGAGGAAAAATTCATCTCTGCATCTAAGTATTCAGACCGAGGCCATCGAGTACCGTTCTTCATCTTGGACAATGCGAGCAGCGGGTCAAAGTCCTCCGAATACTGGTGGATAAGAGTCGTCACCTGAGATATTGAGCGATGGTCACGTGTAATGTGAACTAAACACATAAAGTCAATACACATCGCCTGGTGCTACTTAGTGACACTGCATCCCACTTTCACACCTTTGTAAAAATAAGTGTGGCCCTCCGCCTCGAACTGCAAATGTGTATCGAGATCGCAGGAGTTGTGACTCGCCAGCTCGGTGCATGGCCGTAGCACGGCAGTGCTGGCCGTGTCATGGTCGTCAGGCACCTGGAATATGGGAGTTTTCGCATTCTTCTGCCAGGCGAACGTACCTTCTTCGGTAATCTCGTCCACATCCATATTGTCACTGGCCTAGTTCATTGTTTCTTGTCGCACGAACAAAGACATGATTGTGTGGGAAACAAAAGTACATGCACTGTTGCACCCAAGCGGCCGAACCCCCTAAGAAGTCCACATCGTGCGACGCCGCAGTATCATCAAGATCGGATATCAAGAGTTCACCACCCGTGCCAGTGCCACGGCTTTCATGGGTTAGATGCCCGACACCTCCACGTCTAGATAGCGCTGGCCGGTTGTTCTCAATCCCGTCTTCTTTGAGTAGTCGCGTCGGCACCCTGACAGAACGGCACCACTGCTCCCACTTCCTCTTACTGACTGAAACATCGAAAGGGGACGGCCATAAACTCACGTCGACTGCCTCATGGAACGGGATCAGTTGTCTCATAAGTCTTACAAGAGCTCCCAAGTGCTTCACGCCTCGTTCCAGGTGAGTCAGACTTTGATTGGCCTGCGTGTGAATGACGACGTCTGCCGGAACGTAGGGCACCAACTGCCGACTTGTTCGCGTCGCCATTCCGAGCTGTCGAAGCCATCCTTGATCGTCTGCAGGCAGAGCAAACGGCGATGGATACAGATTCCACAGCCCAGGAAAAGACGTTAGCTCATGCAAATGCCGAAGACAGCACATTTCCAGGAGTTCAATCCTTCGAAGAAAGACATATTCCTGAATAGCTCCAGTCAAGCTCTGCAAATGCTCCACGGGCAGGCCTCCGGTGGCACGGTCTGATCCACCCAAAAAGTCAGAAAGCTGAGAAACGCAATTGGGACATCTTCGCTCTGGCGTTTCTTCCACATGGGATGCGCAGACCCACGTAGTGCATACTGGACACACACACCAACGTGGCATCATTATGGTGTGCTCTTGACGGCAGATAGCACACCGGATCGAGGCGTTGAGTTCAATCAGTGAGGGTCTGGCAAGGATTTGTGGCTTTGGAGAACTTCGATGGGCTGGTCCGAACCACACAAAAGCTCTCCTGAACATCGAATTGAAACTGCTGTTCATAACGCCGGCAAACTGCATCATGCGATTCACTTCAAGTCTGGTCCATCCGACCCTGTGGAACATGCGAGTGGTGTAGCCGTACGGCTTTCTCTCCATGATTCCGTCAGCTGATATAGTTTTCTTGTAGAGATCGATATGCAGATGTGTGTCGAGATCGCAGGAGTTGTGACTCGCCAGCTCGGTGCATGGCCGTAGCACGGCAGTGCTGGCCGTGTCGTGGTCGTCCTGCAAATGCTCCACGGGCAGGCCTCCGGTGGCACGGTCTGATCCACCCAAAAAGTCAGAAAGCTGAGAAACGCAATTGGGACATCTTCGCCCTGGCGTTTCTCCCACATGGGATGCGCAGACCCACGTAGTGCACACTGGACACACACACCAACGTGGCATCAATATGGTGTGCTCTTGACGGCAAATAGCACACCGGATCGAGGCGTTGAGTTGAATCAGTGAGGGTCTGGCAACGATTCGTGGTCTTAGAGAACTTCGATGGGCTGGTCCGAACCCCCAAACGAAAACTTGAGATAATGCAGGAGCCAGGCCTTCGTCAGACTCTGTTACCCGAGCACGCAGCACTCCTTCATTGTTGAGCGCAATGGCAAAGAAAGTTTTGTTCCACCGGATCTGAAACCGGTTGCTTTGGTCTGGGAGCGGCGCAAACCGGCTTGCCCGACCATCGGAGTGGGTGAATTGTCGTTTAGACCCACGACCAGGTAATGGCATCTGTGGAAGACCATTATCGATTCTGCAGTAGAATCTCACGTTGCCCCGCCATTCTCTCCCGCCGATCATGAGTCCCTTCAGTTCTGCAGGCAGCACTATTCGAGTCGCCACACCCGAAGTGGTTTTTCTGGAGCGGAAATCGAACATGAGGAACGGATGCTGCGGAGAGCCGCGGAATTGAAACCGGGTGTCCCGTTCAGTTCTGCAACTTGCTGGAAATGATGAGAACATACTCAGCTGCTCAATGTGACACAGACCCATCTGCCAAGCTCAGCAGATCCATCTGCTCCGAGGCGAGCTGGGAGTTGAAGATCTGGTTTGGTCATGTCAACGACCAACCTTGCCAGTTCTTCTTATCTCGAACCATGGTTCAGCGTCCAGAAGAGACTGTAGCAGTGCATGGAGGTAAGCATGGTCGAAGTAAAGGACGGTAAGTGTTCTCATCACTCTCCCATCAGAAAACATATCGCGCTGGCTCTAGTCTCACTCCCACAGTATCATCTTCGATGCCCTCACGGACCCCACCACAGCGATCCATGTCGCTACGATATACGAGGCGTCTGCACATACACATCTGACCTGCCATGTAAGATTCTCTGCAAGCTGATCATGGAATGCGGGGTCCCAAGACCTAGACTTTCGGAACCATCGTATCAGAGTCGTTGTCGCACATACTTCATCTCCCAGAAGAGAAGCCATCCAAACAGCAATTGTCAATGACCGACCGATCGCCTCAGGTCTTCACATGCCAGGAATCTCCTAACATAATCTATGTCTGAGCAACATCACAGATACGGTGTTGCGAAAAGGAACATTCATATAGATCATCCCAGGGGCATGTAAGACTCCTCTGTAAGCTGACCATGGAATGTAGGTCCCAAACCCAGAGCTTTCGGACCATCAGTATAATCAGATTCCTGTCCGATGATACTTCATCTCAGCAAAGAAGCCATCATCGTCTGACTCTCCGGCAGTGATGCCCTGCACTGTAGCGGCGCTGAGGTTGCCATCAGGTCCGAGTGGTTGGGCCTCAACGTAGGGAGTGATTGTCTTCTGGCTGCTGGAACTGTAGCGAAGTCCATGAGCCAGAATGTACGGCTGCGCTGTCGATGGTTTTGCCCGCCCACACAATCGAGATGAAACGAGTGATGAGCACGTATCGCAAAGCCTTAACCAACTGCGTAAGTTTGAAGACTGCCTTGAATGAAACACCCAGCATGATTGCAGGCTCGTCATCATATTGTCTGCTGTGCGATGGGTCCTGGTTAGTGTCATAGTTCCATCTGAGTAATCGCAAGCCCTGGAAGTGTCCGTCACTATAGAGGATTAGCGGCCCGGCAACGTAAAGTCCAGGATTGATGTCACGTGCGATGGTATACCTTACGACCACACAGACGCATCAACAGTCGTGGCATGACGCTAAACTCGCATGGTCTATCGATCCCCAGCCACTCGAAGGGTTTCAGCATAGCAGACCCGTCGCGGATGCCCAGAAGGACCGCTGGTTGTATATGGGATCTTGATGCCCAGATCACGACACGCATCTACTAGGCAGGTATCCACGACCGAGCATCGCCTGCAGCTCAACACATGAAATCTTTCTTAAGTACAGAAAGAATCTGTCTATGAGACATACTCCTTTCTTCCTGCAGGTCGCAAACTGGCCTATAACATATTTCTGGAACGCCGTGGCCTGTGTCCTTCTGAGAGTCGCGAGCTTGCCGTCTTGGCAGATCTGTACCTCTGGAGAATGCAAGGGGCAGGCCCAAGGACTTCGTCGGTGGCGCTTGTCCGCAGCCTCTTTGGCAGGTGCTTGCCAGCATGAACAAATGGAGACCCTAACATAGATGTCTGGCCTGTTCATTCTCGCTGAGGCAGGCCACTTGATGCGGGGTGGTCCTCTCGTCCTCTGACAAATGATTGAAACGCTTCCCCTATGAGCGTTATGCTTCAAACGATATAATGTCTGACGACACATGCTAAATTGTCCTTCTCCCACGAGGCGCAGTGTCTTGCTGGTGCTGGGGAAACAGCAATTGTTGATGACAATGCGATCGCCTCACATTCTTCACACGCAAAGGAAGACATCATATAGTGTGTGGCATCAGGATTTAAGTGCTGCTTGCATACGAGTAACACCAAGAGGCGCTGTCGCGCGTTCTCTGCCCGATGTGGGCGAAACTCGACCCTGAGTGTCCATGCAGTGTGGCTTGCAAAAACACAAAACCTCGACTTGCACATCTATAGCCGGGCGGCATCCAGCGTCGGCTCTGCATTCGGCCAGCTCAGCTTGACTGTACGCTTCATGTCTTGCCTGGGACGCCAGTCGAGCACACAGTCCATTGGATGTGCGAGTACAATATGGATAAGATACGTATATGTGCAAACTATTTGCGGCGGAGTGACTCTCTCGTGGATTCGTTGAATGAGGTCCGACCCTGCAGTGCTTCGTTTTCATTCCAAGGTGCGCGCATCATCACACGACATTGTGTTGCTAAAAGAGAACCGATTAGCGATAGATTAAGTCCAGGTGCACCAGCCCGGCGCATGGTCGCAGCCCCGCAGGTGAACGTCATCACCCGGTTCGAATGCGACCGAGAGGATTCCAACCTGTTTAAACATGACTCCTGCGGCGTCGTCCGAAGAAGAATCAAACACAGGCGAGTGGTGTGCCTTGGCGGCAATCGACTGGACGGGAGACCGGTTTCGCTGGCAATATGCAGTCCCACGGCCTTCGCTGAACCTGAGATAAAGAACTCTAACTATACAGCCCTCGCATGTCTCTTTGTGTATGAACACATATATTTCAGTCGCTAACATGCACCCAAGTGACGTGAACTTGGCAGCTGTAATGATTACGGACCGTCCGAATGCCAGCAGTGCTGGGCTCATATCGGAGAAGCCTTCCGGGAAAACAAGCAGACGATCATTGCGTTTTACAGCTTCGAAGCAATAATCACCGAGGCAGGCCTGCTGGATCAAAAGCCATAGTGAATATGGCTGAGGTTCCAGGTGTGAATGGGATACACGGAAAGCTAAGAAAGCTGATGCTCAAGCAGAAAGCTACGGCATCATGCACATGCACGTGTATGTATACGTGTGTGCATTCGTATGACAGCTGCGCCGGCATGTATAGAAGTTGCAGCAAAGCTCAAATGACAGCTTCTCTTCGCAATCGTGTTGAATGATAAGTCGGCCTGGACAATGGTCACCATTGGCCCCCATGGCAAGCAAGCCTGAAAACAGAATGCAATTAATTCTGTTCTACGCCAGCATACTTCGTATAAGTAAATACGGCAAGCGCGCACGGAACATAATTCAGTCCAGCCGGTTGCATTATAAGTGTTAGAGACCAGCGCTCGCGAATAGTTACAGGACGACCGCCGAAATGAATGTATCAGCTGCCAAAGCGATGTGTGTGATGTATACAAGACTTTGCCAACGGCATCCGCTACCAATGCCACACCACGCCAGTTCTGTTCAGTCTTGAACCAATACCATTGACATCAAAGCATTCCTACATGTATGACAGCCACTGCCACGAATGCGGAGCATTCATACGTGAATGTTGGCCAATGCCATTGACATCGGAGCATTCATACGTGTATGTTGGCCAATGCCATCGACATCAGTGCATTAGTAAATATATGCATCTCGCTTGGTAGGTTATAGCTTCGTAGTAGATGGATGCCGTTACGACGACTGTCCTTCCACAAGCACCTGTCTTCCACACCGCCCCCCGCCTCCAGCGCATCTTCCATCTTCGTGATCAGGTCTGCCCTGTCACG